AGCTCGTTTAGATTTAGAAATATTTCTTCAATTTAGGTATTTGCTGGATTGACGTGGTAGATTTAACGATTTTTTTTTTATCGAAATTGAAAGCTCCCGCGTACAGGATTTAGGTTTGAACAGGTGAAAAATAATTTGGTGAATGGTACTCGAGCGGATCACGGATGAAATTTAACACGAGAAATTGCCGACATCGATAATTCCCCCGGTTTTCTCGCTTCCGGAATAATCGAGCCACCATCAGCTAATAATAGAGCCCCCTCGGAGATCGCGTAAGACGATCTCCTCTCCGACAAACTCCTCTTTTTTCTCTTATAACCGCTTCTACCACCCTGTTTTTGCTTTATTTCACCCGTTTCCTCCTTACGTCAGTTCATTCCCACTGCACTAGCCCCTCTTCAAACAAACTCTGATTATGCAAAGTTTTGCTCGTGTGTGTTGATGGTTTTAGACATGAGTTCACTCAACTTACAAATTCCTTGTTATTTCATTCCTAGGGGTTGAGTTATCCAGGTACACCGCCAAAAAATTTCCCCGAGTAACATTTTTTAAACAATTCATACTAAAACTTCATTGAAAAATTTCACCATTTCATTTTATCTTGTAAAAAGGCATGTATTATAGATTTCAAGGGAAAATCTATTTATATACAAATAATATAAACAACATATATTTTTTATACATTCTTCCATCGATATTTATTTCTACAATATTTTATTTTGAGTGATCATCAAAGATGAGACTAAAAATAAAATGAAATGTTCAAAAAATTTTTCAATTCTTGACTGAATGACATTTCACCCGGGGATTACGGAACTTTCCTGAATATTTCCGGGTATTTTTCTGTGGGTGATAGGTTCGTCGTCCGTTTGCACGGAAAATGTACATTGGGAAGAGACCATGAACATTATCCACGACCGCATTATGCGTTTTCGCCCACACACGACAGGCGCAATTCAGCCTCACCTATGTCTCTCTCTAAATTCGTATTTCGTACAATGTTGCACAGTTTCGGAAGGGATAACAAGTGTCTATCTCGGTTGGTGGTTGAGGTACCCCCAGTGCTTGTTCTACCCCAGCGTTTGCCGTTGTTTACCTCGGGCCAACCTCCCCCGCTTCCACATCTGCATAAACCATCCCCCAGTTGTACCACCCCATCTACTATTTCACCCCTTAACCAGGTCTGCTTTCAGAGGCATTGTGTGTCAATCGTCAATCTCCAATTGGATTTAGGTATGAATTTTCAAGAATTAATGTTCATCTTCATTCGAAAATAAAATCAACCCAAAAAAATTGAAACAGCATTTTTTTTTTCTTTCAACGAAAACCCCAAAATACTCACACGATCTGAATTGGAAATTCCCTACAGAAATCTCAGGCGTCTGATTTTCAAGGACGATCAGACCTCTTTGGAATTCTTCTCAACTCCTCATGTCAATCCTCTCTCT